CCAGCAGCCTTGATTCCATCTAGGATGGCCTTCTTGAAAATCTTTAAACCCCATAGCCCGTCCGTTGTATTATAATCCCAGTCCGGGTCGTTAAGGATCGACTGAGTAGTTAGAGGGGTCATAGATGCCGGTCGATTTGGTTGGTAGCCCTCTCGAGTCAGGGCTTCCCCTGCCTTGGCTAAGATTTCTCTTTTCTCTGCTTCATTAAAGAGAGCCCCCAGGAGCATGTGGACATCTGCCCACGTGGGGTTGTGGGTAGAGAAAATGGTGGCCACCTGGCGGTGACATTTGTCGGGATCATCCCGCAAGGACGGCATTTTGTCGGACCAATTCATTAAATCCGATGTAAGGAAGGGTTGGTGTGTGAAGACCATACGGGGTGGACCTCCTGCCCTTTCCGGAGGTATGGGTAACGCTCGCAAGGGGAAAGCACCCTCTACTTCTCCATTTGGCAGATTATCTTTGTTTCGTGTTCTACTGGCGACGGGACCCTCCCTTTCCCCGTTTAAAAGTTGCCCATTAAGTAAAGGTTCCACGTCTAGATTTGTCTGGTCTTCGGTTAAGTTGGGCGTACTTGGAGGGGGCTTAGCCGGTTGGGTAACTATCGGCGATGTATTTGATGCACTCGAGGGAGGGGCCGGGGTGACGTTCGCGGGGTCTTCCCTGGGTCCCGCACCCCCCCTTCCAGCCCCTGCCCCAGGTCCCGGTGAAGGGGGGGCTCGTGGTTCTGGGTAGTAGAAAGGGACGAGGGTCCTATCCAGTTGTTCCTCTTGAGCCCTGATCTCATCATATGGAGGGGGTCTCGTAGGTTTTAAGACGGCCATCTGCCGGGCTATCCTAGCTTGTTGTTGTTGGAATAATTCACGGGCTTCGGCAAAGGCATTCAGATAGTAAAGTTGGCGGGGCTTCTCGTCGGCTAGATAAGCCTTAAGTGCTTGCATCCTTGTGACGTTAAAAGAGCCGTGAGGTGGCCATCTCTGGGCCGGATCTAGATGGTGAGTAAAGGTGACCCACGCAATGTTGCAGAGGTCTCTCAATTTGGATTTTGAGAGTCCTTTCTTCCCTCTCAGCTCCTTCCAGTTTAAAAGAACAAATTGAAGAGGGGTATCGGAGTCCTCCTTCTGGCGGGAAGGCTTCGCGAAAGCCTTATCGCCTGGAGGAGCCCAGTCAGAATGTTTGGAAGCCTGGGTTCCCATTTTACCTACGTTAAAGATAGAGGGGGTAGAGACACACGCGAGGGGAAGAGAGAGGGGACGGGAAGAAGAAGGGAAAGTGGAAAATTTCTTTTCAGTATTTTGAACGTTCCTATCTTTTGAATACAATTTTCGTTTCTAGAAAACCTCAAGAATGAGCTTAAGAAAACGTCTGCCACGGGACACCTTGGCCCGAGAAGATTTCAGTTACGGGACACCTTGGCCCGTCTGCCACGGGACACCTTGGCCCGAGAAAGGTTCAGTTACGGGACACCTTGGCCCGTCTGCCACGGGACACCTTGGCCCGAGAAAGGTTCAGTTACGGGACACCTTGGCCCGTCTGCCACGGGACACCTTGGCCCGAGAAAGGTTCAGTTACGGGACACCTTGGCCCGTCTGCCACGGGACACCTTGGCCCGAGAAAGGTTCAGTTACGGGACACCTTGGCCCGTCTGCCACGGGACACCTTGGCCCGAGAAAGGTTCAGTTACGGGACACCTTGGCCCGTCTGCCACGGGACACCTTGGCCCGAGAAAGGTTCAGTTACATCTATTTTCTTTTCTCACTACCTCAGCGCTGTTCACGAGACTAATCCTAGTGTGGGGCCCCAATTTGTGAACCACCCTTCTACCCTCCACGACAGCCTCCTGCCTATCCTTTGAGACTAGGTTCGGAATTCCCTACTGAACGCTTGCGTAGTGCAATGCCAGATCGGGGTCCGAGAAGAACAAAGTTTGAGAGGAAAACAAACGACCTTGCGTTCTCACGTACCCGGGTCATCCCTAACAAAGGTCGCCAGGCAGGAGGGGCGGCTTCGTTTGCATGGGTGAGGTAGAGAAAGGTAAGAATATTTGAAAAGACGCCTCCGGGCGACTCCGAGAGAGGGACGTCAGGGAAAATAGTAGAAGAGCCACGCTTTCCCGGATTCAGTTCCAAGACGGAAAACGGGGGAGAAAAGGAGAGAGGAAGAGATTAAGGCGTTCCTGGACGACTCCGAGAGGTAACGCCGGAAAACCAGTAAAAGTACCACGATTTCCTTGGCCACTTTCCGAAGGGGAAAATCGGGGGAGAGAAGGGAAAGTTTAGGGTAACGTCAGAAATGAAAGAAGAAAGTCTGGCTGTCGTGGAGATATTTCCTTTCCAACCCCCCTCCCTCTGTATTTACTTCAAACCATACTCACGTTCGCAGATGTCCCCCGCAGATCCCGGGATCCTTTCCTTTAGCCGGCTTTACCTCGCCTTTGCTCCCTCTGGTCGGGCTTCTGGTGACGGTTGATTACCGCCCGCAAAGAGGAGGCAGGGAGAGGAAGAAGGATCCCCGGGCTAAGGTTGCCCAGTGGCGCCCGATCCCTTCTATCTCCCCTCTCACCTTTACAGGAGAACCAAGTGTCCCTGAGTCGCGGTCGCCAACTGTTAACGGAAATTCAAGGGTCCTCTTGGGCAAATGAAGACACCGACCAGAGCAAGTCAGAGCAAAACAGCAGCCAGTAGGCTTGGTCTTTATTTAGAAAGACTGTCGCGACAGGACTCCCACCGCCCACAAGGTGAAGCAAAATGGAAGCCCCGAACAAAGGGAGACCCTAACTTTTATTAGTTGCTAATCCCCTAAGCTACACCCTCAGAATTACATCACATTTACATCACGATTATATTAAAAATAGGAGGGGTTGGGGAGGGGCCGCGCAGGTAACCCGAGTGTCCTGACACCTGGCCGGAGCCCCCTTCCCCCTCCCCGCATGAGTCATATACGAAAACAAAGGAAGAGGGCAAAGTTTCCTGCCCCCTGAGGAGAGTCCGATCACAGTCTTTTGTGTATGTCTGCGCGGAATACACCAAGATATGCAGTTCATTGTGTCTTTGATAGCCTCCTGTCTGAGCCGATCACTGATGGCTATCAAGGTGGTCACGTCTAGTAGGAAGGAACACAGAGTACGTGACTGCTCGGTTAAGGGATTATGGCCGCTTGATTTCGGACCACCCCCCTTTGATAGTCTTTGTAATATCCAGCAGAATAAAAGTGGTCCGGTGAAAATCCGAAGTACGGCTGATTTTTAGTGAATTTATGAAGAATATTGTCTTTGAAGTTCAAAGCACTTTCGCTTTCAGGAAGCGGCTTGCTACATTTTGATTAAATCAGTCACGGTCAATTGAACTCGGAAACCTTGTATTGAGAGCTGTCAAAGGTAAGGGGGAGAGCGGCAGTAGCCTGCAGTACCCGCGTGGCCGCCGCAAGGGGCGCTGTTCGGTAATGTTGATTGGCTGAGGCGGGCGCCGATTGACAGCAGAGTTCGGTCGGCCGGTCTACTCTCAATAAAAATAGGGCGATGCGGAGCGCCATAGCGGGGAGCTGTGAAGCCAGCGCTTCCTTATTTACGGAAGGCTTTAAGGGATGTCCCTCTAAAAGGGACATCTCCAGGGTCAGGAAGGGGGAATGTATGCGTGTGTGAGTGTGGTGCTTGTGTAACACGTGTCAGTGAGTTGGGGGGGGGGGTTTTCCGGCGACAGGGCTGCATAAGGAGGCTGCCTTATGCAGAAGACCAGAGGGTCCACGTGAAGAAATATTCCCCACCCTGGCTATTAGCGATTCTCTTTCCGTGATTCTGGGCAAAAGGACAGTCCCACCCCTATTTAGATGCCAAGACTGGACCTGTCCCAAGCTATCTACCTCCAACTTTCTGTGTTCTGTGCACTGTGCCTTGCCCTTATTTTAACTGATCACAGTTTAGGAATTCTTTATTCTAACTGACAAGTGCAAGCTGTTCTAATTATTATTCGTGGATATTTAATTTTGCCGCTCACTATTATATTCTAATGGATTGTCAAATGCTGCTCTATTTGATAATTGTTTATTTTAAAGTTACCGTGATGACTTCTGGTATTGGATCAGATTGTTACATTGTTCAGCCTGGATACAGAGGTCCAGCTCCAAGGGCCTCCTGGAGGCTCCCTCCCTGCGAGAAGTGAGGTTGCAGGAAACCAGGCAGAGGGCCTTCTCGGTGGTGGCGCCCTCTGCCATCAGATGCCAAGGAGATAAACAACTACCTGACTTTTAGAAGACATCTGAAGGCAGCTCTATTTAGGGAAGCTTTTAATATTTGATGAATTATTGTCTTTTGCTGGAAACCACCCAGAGTGGCTGGGGAAACCCAGCTAGATGGGCGGGGTATAAATAATAATAATAATAATAATTACTACAACGTGCACAATCTTTGCCGTCTATTTTGTTTGCAGCTTGCAAACAGCCTGAAGGCGGAATACAAATTAAAAGTGAAATGAAATTGATAAACCCCTCGTGGAGGGTGCCAAACTTTTGGGAGTTTCCCTGCTACTTCACTGGATCCGACCCACCCACCGAAGGAAAAGCAAAGAGTGAGCTTTGTAAGCGACCTGGGCGAAATGCAGATCTGGTAGAATTAACCCGAGCCTTGAAAAAAGCACATAGAGCGGAACAGGAAGTGGTAAAGTGTGGCGCTCTTCCCAACTTCCTCCTTCAACATATTATTATTATTATTATTATTATTATTATTATTATTTCCAAATGGGCAAAGTACTGAACAGTCCGACCACCTCGTTGAGCAAAAGCCCAGCGGGCTCAGAGATTTCCTGAGTGCCAGGAGGAGATCACAAGAACAATGGCAGCAAATTTTTTAAAAAGGCAAAATGCTTGTTCCTTTTCTCAGGAATGTTCTTCCACCTCCCGATCCTTTTCCAAGTCCACAGCCTCGGGGTCGCACGACAACTTGCATTCACGCTCGACGTTTTCTCCCCATGCGTCGAAACACCCCGAAGAACGTACGCAAAACACTGTTTTCTTTTTTCCTTTTTAATTACAAAACTAAGTCCCCCCCCAAACAAATATTACAAATATGATCACGGCTGAAAGGACATCATCGGTTAGTGCTAAGGAGGCGAGGCGGGGAGAAGGGGCTCCCGGATAGCTGCGAAATATCTAAAAGCTGCAAAACCCCACTATACCCCACCCCGCAAAAAGCAGTCGATACAAAAGTCGCTTCGAGGAATAAAAGAAACTCGCTTTGGATGGGGACCGCTGGGTTGTGACGAGACGCCGCAAAAATAAGTTGTCTGTGCGGCAGGAACGAGGTTTCTGCCACGGCAACATCGCAGGAAAAGAGAGAAGCTTGCCGGCGCTGTTTTGACTGCCGGCGAAAGCTTAAAAGGGAAAGGGTTTGCGTGGAGTTACCTGGAAAAGGTGGAACTGCAGGGGGAGGGGAAAAAAAGGAGACGGAGGAAAGAAAGACAGGCATCTCTCTGTGTGTAAAAAACTGGCAAATCCCTCCATTGCAAGAATTTGCCTCTTAACATTCCCTACCCAAAAGAGTCTCAAAAACTGCTTCGGAACGGAGTGAAAATCCGTGCTTCTAGGATTAAGACACACACACACAAATCCGAAATGGACAAAATTCAGTAGCAGGCAAGGCCAGTGAACCGGGTGCAGGGGTTTCCCTCTCCAATGGGGAAAAGCGGCGTCTCAGAAGAAGAAGCCGAGCCCCATTGTCCACCCCACCCCACCCCACCGAAACATGTTGGTTTGGATGCACCAATGTGGAGCTGGCAGGTGGGATGGCCACTAGAGAGGGGATTTGGGGCGCAGGTGCCGCCGCGCTGACCCAAAATTGAAAACTGCATGGGTCCTGGGCGGAGAAAACAAGCCAGGATTTTCCGTCACAGGTTGCCGTCATTGTGTGTGGCTCCGGAAAGAAATGGTTTAAATAGGTTCAGAACAAGCCCGGGTAAAAGTAAAAGCCACAGGTTTCTGCCTGGCAACGGTGCAATTTAAACCAACAGATTTTTGCACGGCAACAATGCGTTTAAAACCTAGATTTCTGCACGGCAGCAGTGCAATTAAAACCCAGATTTCTGCACGACAGCAGTGCAATTAAAACCCAGATTTTTGCGCAGCAGCGGTGCAACTAAAACCTAGATTTCTGCAGGGCAACGGTGCAATTAAAACCTATAGATTTTTTGCACGGTTTTGCACGGTGACGTGCCGGCTCCTCAGGCAAGGGTTGCGCTAATTCCAAGCAAGCCCAATTTAGGGACAGCTTTGTGTTGTGGGGTGTTCGATGCTGAACCCGTCTAATAAGACAGACTCTCCATCGCTGCAAAACCGGATAGTTCAGCTCGCCTCTTCTGAGGACACGTGCCGCTTTCGATCTATCGCTTTTAATTGCGTGAGGAGCAAAAGGCCACACCTGTCGCCCAAAAGCAAATAATTGGAATCTAGTAAAAGGGATTTGGGGCAGGTCAGTATACACCCTCCTCCTCGCAATGCACCGGTTGTGAAAAACACACAAATGATACAGCACCTTTAAGCTTACGAAAGTTTTCTCCGAAAGGGTCCCCCCCGCCACGACATTGCTACTGGATAATTGGACTTTTGTGTGCGTAACCCCAAATGTCTGCACTTTCGAGAGATCCACATAAATGGCTGGTAGCTTTAGGGGTCCCCCTCATATGGGAAGGAACACCCCCCCCCCATTGCACCTCTGGGAAGACCGGACAGTCTGGAAAAGTTAAGATGAAAACACACCAACGCACACACAAATCCCATGGCGTGATTTCGCAGAAGAAAGGATTATCTACAACTGGAGCAAACAAACTAAGTACGAGAGAGGTGGTCCCCATTTAAAAACGGCGCCTCTACCTTAAGCCGAAAGAGGACGTTAAGTTTGGGTAGGTGTGTGCTACTTAATAATAAAAAAAACGACAACCAGGGAAGTAGGCTCAAATGGTATCCTTGCGCCCTGGAAATGAAAGACGGAGCAGTTAACGTTTGCAGTTTCTCTGCGTTCCTTCCCTGTTAACACTTGCGGAAATGACAATTGGGGGGTGGGGGGTTGAGAGAGAGGAGAGAGAGAAAGAGTACGGGTTTTTAGTAAAGTCCATCTTCAAGCTACCCAGGATCTACTGAGCCACTGGATTCTCAAACGTCCGGCAAATAAAGGCTGAAGACGGCTGGAGGCTGAAGGCATCTCCAGACAGCTGCGGAGACGACATGCGACGCTGTCCGGCGGCAAGCTCGCCTCTTCGCAGGGCGAGGAAAGGCTAGGATTCTCAAGAGGGACTCCCTGAAGGAAGAGAGAGAGACTTGATCCATCACAGAGGACTACGTAAAGGGATCCCTGAACATTAGGTCCAGTCGTGACCGACTCTGGGGTTGTGGCGCTCATCTCGCTTTATTGGCCGAGGGAGCCAGCGTACAGCTTCCGGGTCATGTGGCCAGCAGGACTAAGCCGCTTCTGGCCTTTCAGAACCAGAGCAGCGCATGGAAACGCCGTTTACCTTCCCGCCGGAGCGGTACCTATTTATCTACTTGCGCTTTGACATGCTTTCGAACTGCTAGGTTGGCAGGAGCAGGGACCGAGCAACAGGAGCTCACCCCGTCATTGCGGGGATTCGAACCGCCGACCTTCCGATCGGCAAGCCCTAGGCTCTGTGGTTTAGCGAGATAAGCTTGCCGTTGAATGCGAACTGAATCAGCTGCCTCCTCGATGGCCGATCATCGACGGGACTCTATATCCGGGGCAGCCGACAGTCCAATCTTTCCACCGACCAAGATGAGAAAACAACAAGGTGGAAAGGGGAGAGGAGGCCGAGGGAACGCTCCGCAAGGGAGGGGGTTCGGAAAAAGGGCGAGGGGCTGCCAGGTCTGCAGGGAAGGGGGGATATAACTGGACTCCTGAGCCCCACAGGGACGCCGCAGGAAGAATGCAATTGCTCAAGGGAGCCGCGGCCCCAAAAAAGGTTGAAAACCTCTGGCTTGCGCTGACTGGCAGCAGTCCTCTAGGGCAGTGTTCCCCAACCTTGGACCTCCAGCTGTTTTTGGACTACAACTCCCATCATCCCTTGCTAGCAAGACCAGCGGTCAAGGATGATGGGAATTGTAGTCCAAAAACAGCTGGAGGCGGAGTCTTTCCTGCTTCCATGTTTTGCCACGGAGCTACAGAGTTTCCCTCGGAGCAACTGAGGGTATAGTTACCTGGACTATACGCTCTCCACCTCCGGCCCGCGGTCCACGTCCTCTTCCTCCTCCTCTTCCTCCCCGTCTTCGTCCCCCAGGGCCTTCTCCTCGGGCGCCTCGCCGTCCCGCGCGATCTCCTCTACGTGAGCCAGCATGTCTGCCATCAGAGCTTCTTCCAGCCTCTTTCGCACTTGCTGTACGAGTTCTTCCTGTTTCCTGTCCGGGGAAGGGAAGGGAAGCTGGATGAGGCTGGGGGATGGCGGCATAGCTCCCCCTCCAAAACAACCGCCTGTCTTGGCAGCTGCTCTACGGTTTCCGCCGCACGCCTGGGAAACCAGAGCGGAGACCCCTTTGCAGTCAAGAGGCTGGAACCCTCAAGGTGCAAGAATAAGAATAAGAATAATAATAATAATAATAATAATAATAATAATAATAATAATAATAATAAATTTTATTTATATCCCGCCCTCCCCTGCCGAAGCCGGGCTCAGGGCGGCTAACAACAATAGTACAACATTCTAAAATCATTTCATTCTAAAATTAATTCAAATCAAATTGATGGCAACCATTAGGCTAAAGTTCTTTGAAGATTGCCAAAGGAGGGAGTCAGGCTCTGCCCTGGCCAAAGGCCTGGTGGAACAGCTCTGTCTTGCAGGCCCTGCGGAAAGGTGTCAAGTCCCGCAGGGCCTTAAGTCTCTTGTGGTAGAGCGTTCCACCAGATCGGAGCCACAGCCGAAAAGGCCCCGGCTCTAGTTGAGGCCAGAACAGAAGAACAGAAATAATGGCCATGAGAGGAAGAAAATGTTGGTGTTTGGAATACTGGGCACTGTTAAGGCCAGCTCAGCTCAACAAGGATATTGTAGAGATTGAATAATAATAATAATAATAATAATAACAATAATAATAATACAGTGGTACCTCGGGTTAAGAACTTAATTCGTTCTGGAGGTCCGTTCTTAACCTGAAACTGTTCTTAACCTGAAGCATCACTTTAGCTAATGGGGCCTCCCACTGCCACCGCCGCACGATTTCTGTTCTCATCCTGAAGCAAAGTTCTTAACCCAAGGTACTATTTCTGGGCTAGTGGAGTCTGTAACCTGAAGCGTCTGTAGTAGTAATAGTGAAAGTGAAAGAGAAAGAGAGAGGATGAGAGAGAGAGATAAAGAGAAAGACAGAGAGAAAGAAAGGAGGAGAGAGGGAAAGAGGGGGAGAGATAAAGAAAGAGGGAGAAAGAAAGAGATAAAGAAAGAAAGAGACAGAGAGAGAGATAAAGAGGGGGAGAAAGAAAGAAAAGAAAGAAAAAGAGACAGAGAGAAAGAGGAGGAGAGAAAGAAAGAAAGAAAGAAAGAAAGAAAGAAAGAGAAAGAGAGAGAGAAAGAAAGAAAAGAGAGAGAAAGAAAGAAGAAGAAAGAAAGAAAGAAAGAAAGAAAGAAAGAAAGAGACAGGAGATAAAGAGGGGGGAGAGAAAGAAGGAAGGAAGGAAGGAAGGAAAGAGAAAAAGAGGAGGGAGAGAAAGAGTGAAAGAGAGAGAGAAAGAGAGGAAGAAAGAGAGAGAGAGAGAGAAAGAAAGAAAGAAAGAGAAAGAAAGAAAGAAGAAAGAGGGAGAGACAGGAAGAGAGCGAAACAGAAAGAGAGAGAGAACTTCTCCCTGCTCCAGGGAGCGTCACTGACCTGATGTCCTCGTCGGTCACCATGAAGGCTTTACAGAGGGGCTGGGAAGTGTTGAGCCAGACCCCGGGGTTCTTCTCCACGGCGGCAGACAGCTGCCCGGTGATGGGCATCGTGCTGGTGTGGAGGGCGCTGGCGATGGCGGAGAGGAGGGTCTCGTCGGTGCAGCCGGGCCCCACGCCTGCGGGAGGAGGGGTGCCAGAGGAGACACGGGGTGTGCGGTCACTGCAAGGCTGCTGATGTTCATTCCACCCCCAAATATATAGTCCGCCCCCCCACAAGGTCTGAGGGACAGTGGACCGGTCCCCTGCTCAAAAAGTCAGCTGGCCCCTGGGTTCACGCCTTATAAACCTAGGACCCTCCAGATATTTTGGACCACAGCTGGAGGGCGCCAGGTTGACGAAGGCTGTTGTAGGCGTCTACATATAGGGCGGTCGGGTGGTCCCAAAACAGGCAAGGGGGGCACAGGAGGTGTAAACAACCAGCAGGCTTTGAAAAGATCTGCTATCACCAGATCCGAGTCCCTTGGTGTTTGTTGACTTAATTAAACTACAGTGGTAGGTAAAGGGTAAAGGGACCCCTGACCGTTAGGTCCAGTCATGGCCGACTCTGGGGTTGTGGCACTCATCTCGCTTTACTGGCCGAGGGAGCCGGTGTACAGCTTCCGGGTCATGTGGCCAGCAGGACTAAGCCGCTTCTGGCGAACCAGAGCAGCGCACGGAAACGCCGTTTACCTTCCCACTGGAGCGGTACCTATTTATCTACTTGCACTTTGACGTGCTTTCGAACTGCTAGGTTGGCAGGAGCAGGGACCGAGCAACAGGAGCTCACCCCGTCATTGCGGGGATTCGAACAACCGACCTTCCGATCGGCAAGTCCTAGACTCTGTGGTTTAACCCACAGCACCACCTGCGTCCCTACTACAGTGGTACCTTGGGTTAAGTACTTAATTCGTTCCAGAGATCCGTTCTTAACCTGAAGCACCACTTTAGCTAATGGGGCCTCCTGCTGCTGCTGCGCCGCCGGAGCACGATTTCTGTTCTCATCCTGAAGCAAAGTTCTTAACCCGAAGTACTATTTCTGGGTTAGCGGAGTCTGTAACCTGAAGCGTATGCAACCTGAGGTACCACTGTACGTCGTTGTAACTGGATCTTAAATAAATGGGTTACCGGTTTAAATTTTGCCGCACTGTTGTACAGTGGTACCTCAGGTTACATACGCTTCAGGTTACACACTCTGCTAACCCAGAAATAGTACCTCAGGTTAAGAACTTTGCTTCAGGATGAGAACAGAAATCATGCGGCAGCAGCAGGAGGCCCCATTAGCTAAAGTGGTGCTTCACGTAAAGAACAGTTTCAGGTTGAGAACGGACCTCTGGAACGAATTAAGTACTTAACCCGAGGTACCACTGTATTTCATAGTGGGTTCCGCAAACCATGGTTCTGAATAATCCTTTTTTATATATTAGGGTAAGGGGCACCCTGGGGGCGAGTTTACGCTGGCCGAATAAGGTTCTGCAACTGCTGTTTTAGGAACGCTTTATTACATTTTCATATATATTGGAAGCTGCCCAGAGTGGCTGGGGCAGCCCAGTCAGATGGGAGGGGTACAAATAATAATGCGAGAAGTGAGGTTACAGAGAACCAGGCAGAGGGCCTTCTCGGTGGTGGCTCCCGCCCTGTGGAACGCCCATCAGACATCAAGGAAATAAACAACTTACTTTTAAAAGATATCTGAAGGCAGCCCTGTTTAGGGAAGTTTTAAATGTTTAATGCTGTATTGTGTTTTTAATACTGTATTCGGTTGGGAGCCACTCAGAGTGGCCGGGGAAACCCAGCCAGATGGGCAGGGTATAAATAATAACTTATTTTTATTATATTCCCTCTGATGGCATCTAGTTGACCCCAGAGGCAGGACGCGGGACAAGGCGACTTATCGTTTATTTGCAGTGATCAAAAAGGGGCACAGTACCTTGCAAACCTTTCGGGAGGTCCATGGTTTTCACTAGCTCCTCTGCGATATCGAAGGCGTTCAGGCCGCTGAGCTTCTTCTCCCAGAAGAGCTGGGAAAAGAAGGAGGGAAAAGAGGGAAAGAGAGAAAGAACGACCCGTTAAGCACATTTCTCCTTCAGGTCTACTGGGCCGTTTAAGGCTTTCAAGGTCAGCAGCAACACTTTGAATTGTGCTCGGAAACGTACTGGGAGCCAATGTAGGTCTTTCAGGACCAGTGTTATGTGGTCTCAGCAGCAGCTCCCACTCCCCAGTCTGGCTGCCGCATTCTGGATTAGTTGCAGTTTCCGGGTCACCTTCCAAGGCAGCCCCACGGAGAGCGCATGGCAGTAGTCCAAGCAGGAGATAACCAGAGCATGCACCACTCTGGCCAGACAGTCTGCGGGCAGGTAGGGTCTCATCCTGCGTACCAGATGGAGCTGCCCTGGACACAGAATTGACCTGCGCCTCCATGGACAGCAATGAGTCCAAAATGACTCCCAGGCTGCGCACCTGGTCCTTCAGGCGCACAGTTACCCCATTCAGGACCAGGGAGTCCCCCACACCTGCCCCCCAAAAACAGTCCTTCTGTCTTGTCAGGATTCAACTGGGGCTGCATTGTTGCATCTGGTCCCTGGGTCTGAAGCTCCCCACTAGAGGGGCGTAAAAATGAAGACCCAACACCACAATTTGACGTAGCCTTCCCCGCAGGGGCGTCGTAAGACTGCCAAGAGGCCCTTGAGATCTTCAGAGGCAAAAAAACCAAAAAACCCATGTGACAATAGAAGACGAGTCCTAAGTAAAGTTTCCCAATCGCACAATGTGTCCCCACTAGGACCCGTTTAAATAACTGGGTAACGGGGGCAAAGCGACTGCTTATATGTGTTCCCGGAAGCCTGGGCTACTCCCACTCCCAACGTGATTGGCTGTCTAAACTCCCAAGCTGCGAATCATGACTCAAATAATAATAATAATATAATGATAATAATTTATTATTTATACCCCGCCCATCTGGCTGAGTTTCCCCAGCCACTCTGGGCGGCTCCCAATCAGTGTTAAAAACAGTACAGCGTTACATATTAAAAACTCCCCTGAACAGGGCTGCCTTCAGATGTCTTCTGAATATCAGGTAATTATTTATCTCTTTGACATCTGACGGGAGGGCGTTCCACAGGGCGGGCGCCACCACCGAGAAGGCCCTCTGCCTGGTTCCCTGTAGCCTCACTTCTCGCAATGAGGGAACCGCCAGAAGGCCCTTGGTGCTAGACATCAGTGTCCGGGCTGAACGATGGGGGTGGAGACGCTCCTTCAGGTATACAGGACCGAGGCCATTTAGGGCTTTAAAGGTCAGCACGAACACTTTGAATTAAGCTCGGAAACGTACTGGGAGCCAATGTAGGTCTTTCAGGACCGGTGTTATGTGGTCTTGGCGGCCACTCCCAGTCCCCAGTCTAGCTGCCGCATTCTGGATTAATTGCAGTTTCCAGGTCACCTTCAAAGGTAGCCCCACGTAGAGCGCGTTGCAGTAGTCCAAGCGGGAGATAACCAGAGCATGCACCACTCTGGCGAGACAGTTCGCAGGCAGGGAGGGTCTTAGCCTGCGTACCAGGTGGAGCTGCCCTGGACACAGAGTTAACTTGCGCCTCCATGGACAGCTGTGAGTCCAAAATGACTCCCAGGCTGCGCACCTGGTCCTTCAGGGGCACAGTCACCCCATTCAGGACCAGGGAATCCCCCACACCCGCCCGCCCCCTGTCCCCCAAAAACAGTACTTCTGTCTTGTCAGGATTCAACCTCGGCCTGCAGGGTGTTGGCTAGATGACCCTCACTCGGCGCATAACCGTGCGCCACGTCAGAGCGGGATGGGAAAAAGTCGGCGCAATGAAATGAGAAATTCAACCTCAAAGAGTTCAATGGGGCCAATGGCAGAGGCCCACACCCTGAAAATGTCCTGCCATTGGATGTCATGTATCGGAACATAGGAGCTTAGAATCCTTAGTCCAGACTCCAGCTCAGGCAAAGGCAGACTCACTGAATACGTAACACACAGGTGTCCCCACCAGATCACTGAATACACAGCACACAGGTGTGCGCCCACCAGGACCCGTTTACCTGGCGGGGTTGGTCGACTGCCTTTTGGGGGTCCGTCTTGACTTTATTGTTTGGGTGGTTTGTGATTTTGGTGACGGGTTGCTTGAAGATCGACGCCGTCTGCCGGACGGGGAGCGCTGTGTTCAGGTCAGGTTTGCCCTGGAAACAGAAGGAGGGAGAGGCAGGTGACGCCAACAGATCGAAAACAGCGCACCTTGATGCTTCACCTTGCCCCTTCTCCCACTTCCTGAACTCGTGCACCTTCCTAGCCTGCGAACCTTCCACAACCCCATTGTAAATCGAGAACAATAATCCTACCTCTGGACTTCTAACCCAGTGGTTTTTCTGTAATCTCCTTAAACAACTTTTGCCCAAAAAATAATAATTGTACAGTGGTACCTCGGGTTACACGGGTGGCGCTGTGGGTAAAACCTCAGTGCCTAGGGCTTGCCGATCGCATGGTCGGCGGTTCGAATCCCCGCGGCGGGGTAAGCTCCCGTCGTTCGGTCCCAGCTCCTGCTCACCTAGCATTTCGAAAGCACATCAAAGTGCAAGTAGATAAATAGGTACCGCTTTATAGCGGGAAGGTAAATGGCGTTTCTGTGTGCTGCGCTGGTGCTGGCTCGCCAGATGCAGCGATGTCACGCTGGCCACGTGACCCGGAAGTGGCTCCGGACAGCGCTGGCCCCCGGCCTCTTAAGTGAGATGGGTGCACAACCCTAGAGTCGGACACGACTGGCCCGAAAGGGCAGGGGTACCTTTACCTTGGGTTAAGTACTTAATTCGTTCTGGAGGTCCGTTCTTAACCTGAAACTGTTCTTAACCTGAAGCACCACTTTAGCTAATGGGGCCTCCTGCTGCCGTCACGCCGCCGGAGCACTGTTTCTGTTCTCATCCTGAAGCAAAATTCTTAACCCGAGGTACTATTTCTGGGTTAGTGGAGTCTGTAACCTGAAGCGAGGTACCACTGTACATATTTACACGCCCACCACATGTGAACGTAAATCCCGGTTTCCTGGCATCGAACATATCACACAAATATTCCTTGTTTCTTTGATTTGATCTGACTGCTGTTCAATACCATCTCCAAACTAAACTTATAGTCGTTTTGTTTTAGAGCGGAACCTTGGTTCTCGAACGTTTCTGTTGACGAACAATTTGGAACCCAAACGCCGACAACAAGGAAGTCAATGCTTCCGTTTTCGAACGCGCCTTGGAAGTCAAACGGCTTCCGAGGTGTGCGTCTCTATTTTTTCAATGGATTTCGCGACTGCCCTTTGATTTTCGAACATTATTTATTCATTCCTTCAATTTATACACCACCCTATACCTGGAAGTCTCAGACGGTTCACAAACAACAAGACCACAACATATAAAATCAAACCAAAAATAATCACCCAATTTAAAACCCCCAAAAGAACCAAAGGCCTGGTTAAAAAGGAATGTTTTTGCCTGGCACCTAAAGGTGTATAATGAAGGTGTCAGGCAAACTTCCTTTGGGAGAGCATTCCACAGACGGGGAGCCACTGCAGAGAAGGCCCTATTCTTCCAGAACGGATTATGTTTGAAAACCGAGGTTCCACTGTATCCTTAGGCACAACTTTTTCAAAGTGTGTTTCTTGGAAGAGTGGGAAGATTCTGCAACGAAACTCCAGCCCCACGCCCACCCCAAATCTCCTCCTCCTCGAGAGGAGAGGAGCGAAGATTTATGGAGACTGCAGAGTTTAAGCATCCTTGCAAGTTTTTTTTTTTGTTGTTGCCTGCAGCGTAGCAGGGCTGCCTTTCGCACAAAAGGCCTGGGGAGGCTGGCATGGCGAGGGTCAAGCGCTAAGGTGCTCCTGGGGTGGGGTGGAGCCCGGGACTCACCTTGGCCTGGCTGGAGCAGTCGTAGCGCATCCGCTGCCTGTTCTTGTTCACTTTACTCATGAGCATCTTTCCTGTCCGGAAGTCGAAGGTGCTCAGGTCCATGGAGTTGCCGAGGTAACGGGCCAGCTGCGGCTTGCTCCGGAATTTTTTCCCGCTTGGGCTGGGGGGGAAGAGGGACGGAGAGGGAGAGAAATTATGGCTTCTGGGAGCATTAGCACGAGGGCGAACCGGGTGCAGGGAAACAAAATCCGTTCGGGGCAGAGCTCCCCTAGGAAAACAAGACAGCCGCAAAGCAAAGCAGAAAACTTCTCCCGTCTCTTCCCATCGCAGGGAACTTGAGGGCCGCATGGCTCTAGAGGGGAGGGCCGTAGGCAAATTTGTCGCAGCAATGGGTGAGACTCTTACCGTTTTTATTGTTTTGCAACGGGAGACATCCCGGCGGCACAAAACGAGGTTTCTGGATGCCAAACCCTCGTCCTTTAATCCGGGCGAGCGAGAGGAATGATCGCCGGTTAGGTGCACATTCCAGCCAGCCAAAAGCAGAGGATCAGGCCCAGCGAGGGGGTGGGAGTACCAAGGGCCAGGGAAAAAGGCATGGAGGGCCGCATCTAATCCCTATGTCCCTCTGGCAGGTGTGCTCAAAGCCCACAAGCTCGAAAGAGAAGTGCTTTACTGCTAAAGCAACTGACGGAGGGAGATTGCTGAGAGACCTTGTTCTAAATTAGCCAGGGACCAGGCGCGTTTTCCGCCCGGCTATTGGCCGCTTGTGTGGGACGCGGGTGGCGCTGTGGGTTAAACCACAGAGCCTAGGGCTTGCCGATCAGAAGGTTGGCGGTTCGAATCCCCGCAACAGGGTGAGCTCCCGTTGCTTGGTCCCAGCTCCTGCCCACCTAGCAGTTCGAAAGCACGTCAAAGTGCAAGTAGATCAATAGGTACCGCTCCGGCGGGAAGGTAAACGGCGTTTCCCTGCGCTGCTCTGGTTCGCCAGAAGCAGCTTAGTCCTGCTGGCCACATGACCTGGAAGCTGTACGCCGGCTCCCTCGGCCAGTAAAGCGAGATGAGCGCTGCAACCCCAGAGTCGGCCACGACTGGACCTAAGGTCAGGGGTCCCTTTACCTTTATTGGCCGTCTGCAACCAAGCAGAGATTCCCCGGCGCCAATTGTCGCCTGACGCCTCCGCCATCTGGCAGTGCATGCCTGGGGATCCTCGGATCTGGACCGTTTTGACACACTTTGACCCCCGTCCTGTGGAACTCACGTTATGAATGGCCCACGTCACTTTTAAGAAGAAGCGGGTCAGGCCGATATATAACGTTTGCCATCAAAACGATTCCCAATTCGCTGTTCCTGCTCAGGCTGCGCAAAAGGATTTTCGCTCCCGAAATTCATTTCGATTGTGCAGATGAAACAGAACGGACAGAATTCTACAGGATGGGGTCTTAAGTGTGTGAGAAAAGCCAGGATCCAAGGCTCTCCAGGCACGTAACTCCAAGATGGCAGAGACACCCCGGAATCTTCCCTTGATGGCCACTGACTTCTCCCCTCTCCATAAATCTGCAGGAACAAGTTTGCTGTTCAAATACGTACACAAGCATCGCCTTACTGACCTCCTAGGACCGATTCAACTTTTCCAACAGGCTGAATTTTCAGCGCTTGTTTCCGGAGCTCTCAATTCACAACCCCCTAGACACACACACACACACACACACACACACACACACACACCAACACCCCAGAAAAAGCCAAGCAAACGCAGAATTTCGTGCGAAAAAATAAAAGTGCGCAAAAAGCCTCCGAAACTCGAAACCCGCACAATTCTGAAGTTTCGGACGCTTCGGCGGAAGAGAGAAGCCTCCCTTCGTGGGGCCTGGAAGCAAGGGAACATGTCTCCCTTTTGTGAACAGCAAGCGCAAAACGACTTTTGCCTGTGCGACTCCTCGCCCCCCCCCCGGAGCCTGAAACCACTATTTTTCATTGTAAAGGAAGAAAAAGGAGAAAGCAGCTGAGAAACGATTCTGCACGCTCCCCTCCCGCTCCTCGAAGTACGCTCGCTTTGTGAGGTTTTCAATGGCTTGCCCCAGCCGCCGAGGAACAAAATATAAAAAGCGGGTTAAACCCCCCCTTTTGCAATTCTTTCGCTCTTTTATTTAAAGCGCTCAACTTGCAAATTCAGACTTTTGGGAGCACGGGGCGGGAGATTAAGATGAATGCAGCCCCTATTCAAGGTGCCCAGACAACCTTTCCATATGTCCCAACTCTGCACGGGCAAGCAGAAATCTCTTTGTTCCTCTCTTTAGCGAGGAAGGGTGGGGGGGAAGGTTTTGCAAATGGATCCCAGCTCCTATTATCAATAAAAGCCAGCTTGGTTGCACCTCCCCTTTCTGGCTCCAGACACCAGACGTTTTTCAGAGCCTGGAAAAGAAAGAAAAAACCACGAAGCTTTTTTGAAGAACACCCGCCACCACTGCAAAAAACACCCCCTGAGAATTAAACAATGGATTATGCAGAGGGGCCGTTTCCAAACTTTCTTTCTGCAAGGAAAGCCCTTCTGTGTTGCAGAGGATTCTGGGAAAGGCTGGATGCGGCCCCCGCGCTTCCCGTTCTGGCCCTTGGAAGTGTCTTCCGTACACGGGTGGAAATGTTCTTGCCAGGGAGAACCGGGTGGGTGAATGTGCATCTTGCATGAAAATTATACTGGGCAAAGGCAAAAATTGCAAGCCTTTGCCCCGCCCACTTCCGCCCCTGGCCCCGCCCACCACGGCATGTGGCCCTCGGAAGGCTGCCAGGAAGCAAAAGCGGCCCCTAGGCTGCAAAGAGCTCCCACAGCCCCTGTTCTACGTCCAAAAACATAAGAACAGACTCGACGGCATGCAGAGTTCGCCCGTGGCCCCATATCCCAACAGGTTGCATACTCCGGGCTCCCAAATCACATCCGAATAATCTCGAACCCAGGGCTTCAAGTTACAAGAGATTCCCACTCGACACCAGTCCCTCTATGGTGGTTGTGGACTCTCCTTCCTTGGAGGTTTCCACGCAGAGGTTGGGTGGCCATTGGTCATAGATGCTTCAGCTCAGATTCCTGCTTTGAAGCGGGTTGGGATGGATGACCCCTGGGGTTCCCTCACAACTCTACGATTCAAACGCTTATTACGCCGGGGCTGGAGGATAGAGAGAGGTTCGCAAGCGCTTTGCCGCGCTGCAAAAGGCAAAATTCGCATTGGTTCGCTGCAATGCTGGCTCCGGGAAGGCTGTGTAAAAGAGACTGCAACCTCCAGGTTGGAGAACATTCCCGACCGCGGTACAAACGACATGATTGTTGCACGAACGCTGCGGTTATTCGGAACAAACTTTGCTGCAAACCGGCAAAGGCACACCAAGGCAGCCCCCGCCACCCACCCAAAGTTTCCTGTGCAGGCAAAACATTGCAACCCGCCACCCCACGGAAACAACAGGAAACTATGCGATTTGATGAACTTCAATTTCACTGTTTACTAAAGGTAAAGGTAAAGGTACCTCTGCCCGTACAGGCCAGTCTTGACAGACTCTAGGGTTGTGCGCCCATCTCACTCTATAGGCCAGGGGCCAGCGCTGTCCGGAGACACTTCCGGGTCACGTGGCCAGTGTGACATCGCTGCTCTGGCGAGCCAGAGCCGCACACGGAAACGCCGTTTACCTTCCCGCTAGTAAGCGGTCCCTATTTATCTACTTGCACCCGGGGGTGCTTTCGAACTGCTAGGTTGGCAGGCGCTGGGACCGAACGACGGGAGCGCACCCCGCCGCGGGGATTCGAACCACCAACCTTTCGATCGGCAAGCCCTAGGTGCTGAGGCTTTTACCCACAGCGCCACCCGCGTCCCTTAACTGTTTACTATTATATGCCTAATGGATGAGTGAATATTTCTTTGTTTTAAACTTACTGTGACTTTTTTGGGATTGGATCAGACTGTTATCATTAATGTTTGGTGTTTTATTATGTTTTTATGCGTGTTCGAAGCTGCCCAGAGTGGGGCATTAACAACAACAACAGGAAACAACAAGAACAAGAACAAGAACAACAACAGGAGACTTGAGAGCTCTCCAGGGTCGTCACAAACCCAGCCTGATTGGCGGGGTGTAAATAATAAAACATAAATGGACCTTAGTAAGATTTTGGAACGCAGAAATAAAGAAAATAATCAAATCTACCGCGCGGATAAATATAATTTATCCAAATTATATCATTAGGTATTTGAACGACCGGTATTAATAATTGTATCGTAAACTGGCATTGTTATAAGGCCGTTGTCGGATTGTAATGGAAAACTAATAAAAATCATTATATTAAAAAAAAAAATCATTGTTATTCACAGCGGGGTATCCTTGAAAAACTTCAGCCATAGAAAGATGCTCTTTAACAGACCTCTCTCAATGCAACAGGCTGACACACACCCCTCCCCAAATAACAAAACAGCTTGCAATGGTTCTTATTAGACAGAACCCGCCCCCCCCAATGCCCCACAGCGCACCTATAGCCTGCACACAACCGCATATCTAACCTGCGACAGCTGCAGTCCCCCCCCAAAAAAACCTGGATGCAATAGCATTTTGAGAGACCCACTCTCCAGTGAAACAACCCACCCCAGGTTTGCTTTGGAAATGGAACCCCTATGAACCGTTCAGCCCCCTCCCCAGCCTGTCCAGCGGGGTCCATTAGTGGGGGATCCACCTGCAAAGATCAGCCCCCTCCTCAAAGACCCTCACCTATGCAAGGGGGGGCGGGGTGGAGTCCAGCACCTAGCAAGGGAGCCAATGACCGGAAGACAATCTGCAGTGACAGCTTCCCAATTTCTTATTTTATTATCTAAGGGTTGCATTCCTCCTATCTAATACACAGAACTTGGTTCTGTTCCTGACCCCCCCCCAATAATAAACCTTGGTACAAGCAGCACCGGGGTGTGTGTGTTATTATTTCCTGCATCCATCTGTCAATCCGTTGCTATGTGAACGGCTCCCGAACTGTCACAGTGTCCCCATGCAGCATGAGCCACAATTTTCTAGGCGGAAAAGCTCCGCGTTTATGTTGTCCCCCCCCCAGGGGGGGCGCATGCATCAGAGACACCCCTCGGCCAACGCAGACACCCCGTAACCTCAATGCAAAAAGACAGAGAAATTATCTTTTCGTGGCAAGCCCGTTGCAAGAATATTCTCATTCTCCCTTCCGTTGCAAGCCTCAAAATCGCACCCAGGAAATAATTCCATGTATTCTCCCCCCCCAATAAAAAATTCAATAGGGTGCCCATTCAATCTGAAACTCACCCCGCAACCCGCCTGCGTACCCCCCAAATCTTTTGCAAAATCAAAACTAGCACTGGGTAGCGGTGAGTTGCAACGAGACTATCACGAATTTTCTCTTTCTTTCCCTCCTTCCGTCCTTCCTTCTCTCCCTCTGTCTCTCTCTTTTTTCTTTTTCTCTCCCCCCCCCCCACAGAAGCCGCGATCCGCCTGCAACGCCTCCCGCAGAACAGCCCCGATTCCAACTGGGGGTCGCCCCCGCCACCTCTCACAGCACCCCCTTCTTGCATAAGCAAGCGGGAAGAAGCAGATCTCGCTGGACCCCCCCCGCCACCGTCTGCAAGGCCCCCCCCCCGGCCATGCAAGGGTTGCAGCGAAAGGCCATGTTGACGGTT